TAAACATAGCCAGTCAAAACTCTCTCCCCCAGCTGCACATAAACCACACACATAACCTATTGGCCTGCTCTAAATAGCTTACAGAAACGCACTAAACTATGGGTGCTGTGCATGACATCAGGAGGCCACCCCTGCCATCAGGACCATAATGTCTTTACACCCTCCAGGACATACACAGAAGTCAGACCGTTTATCTAGCTGTCAGTCAGTTAACAAAGAAACAAAATCATGCATGTCACAAAGGGCTAAACAAAGACAATAAACATACCAGATTCCTATAAAAACAAGCCTCAGCTAGGAGCAGTAGGGCAGTGTATTTCTAAGAGAGCTCCCTAAAAGGGCCAGCCAGCTGGAGCTGGACGGACACGTCAGGGGGACTTCACAGGGACTTGATGGTGGAACTGCACAGGGAGGGGGAAAAGTAAAAAAAAAAAAGCTATCTGAAGTGAGAAGTGTGGGTGTGAAAAGGTAGTGAGGTGTTTCTCAGTTCAAATTGGATGTAAAGGCCTGTTCTCCACAGTCCACTGAATGGCCTGACTCATAGGTGTCAGGCTTGGTCATTTCTCAGTGGATGTTCTGCAGAGAAAAACCAGGTTATGCTAAAAAGGAAGAGGTTCATAAGACCTCGTCATCCAACTATGTCAGAATTTCAAGGTGAGAAGACATGGGCAAAAGACTGCAGTCCTACAGCGGGGCAAAGACTTGTTATCACTCCATCTTATATTTTCTCACCTGCAACAACTTGGTGTGCAGTCATTAGTTTTCTCTCCACCTGCAATGCAACAAGCTCAGGTATGTTTTCAGGAAAGTCTACAACTAGAGGTAAACAGGGGAAACTCCTGCAGGCCACTCATCATGACTGACTGATGATGTATAATGCTGAAAGGTGCTTAATGGTGTGGCTTATCGCTCCAGTGTGCACTGAGGTTAGAGCACAGCCTCCCCACAGCCTTTCTGACAGAGCCTAATGGCCACTGCAGCCATCACCTGCTGAGAGCATACACAGAGAGGTGTGCACACGGTCTGCCAGCTTGACAGTGTACAACGCAGCAACATTTGCAGAGGACGCTGCAGAGTTGTATAAAATCTGTCAAACAAAAACAAATCACGCACACTGCCTTTTGTACAAGTGGCCGCATGTTAGATGGCAGAGAAGATGAACAGGGAACAGGTAGGGGTGGATGGGGAGTTAAAATCTCATGTCTGGGTTGTGAGGACCTTTGTCATTAGGGGGAAGTACGCCTGCTTCCTCTGTCTCCAATTAGTTTCTCTGAAGAGGGCAGAGACATTTTTGGGGGGGGGGTTTAAAAAAAAAAAAGAAAGACCCATCATCAAGCAGGGGAGGCTAGAGGGTGAAAAAGAAAAACCACTTTACTGAGCTCACTTTGAACATTTAGATGCAGAGTGGCAAGGCAGGGCAACAGATGGTCATGAAAATGGCAGCAAGAAGCCACGATGGCGTAATGGTGGACAGGGGAAGAGAGTGGAGACATCAATATGGAAAAAGAGGAGAAAAGCGGAAATGAAAATAGGTTATGAGGTAAGAGAGGTGCACAATCACTCTGGCAGAACATAACCAGGTAGAAGACAGAACGAGGAGCTAGGCGAGTGATAACACAGAAGGTGCGACTCTTTACTAAGTTTCCCTGTAAGCAAGAAAAATAAGAATAAAACAAGTCTAACTAAGCCTATCAAGCCCAAATATCAACCGCTGCCTCTGTGGCCCACATGACCTAAATCATTCTCTCCTTCTGTTCAGAGCTGTTGGCTGAAACTGATAGAGGGCGTCTGACTCATCTTCACATCATTCCAGACAGCAAATTCCTTCCATAATACTGTAGTTCTGCTGCCACATCACAGTTAACCTCCTGGCCAACACAGGTTGGCTTGTAAAAGAGCTTATCAGCCCCATCTTTAATACCATGTCACATTAATGTCACCGGGCTCAATAAAGGCCGTACACATCTTGTAGGCCACGGCTCAATGAACAGATCTTTCCTCTGCAAATCTCCAGCTGTGCTCAGCTGCACTGTAAGAAAGGTTTAGACAGAAGGTGAGAGCAGTGACATCAACTGCTGGCCAAGTAGCTTCACACAGTGCTCCTACCTGTTAATAACTATTAAGGGAATACCGATAAAATAACCTTTTGACAGTGTAAGTGGAAAGCAGACTTTGTCAGCGTGCACTGAAAGACCTCGACTGTAAAGTGAAACAGCAAGCATATTGGATATACAGTGTTTCTTTTCTCCATTCTGTTTACAGATTTCTGCAGAGTAACCCATGTCAAACAAAAACAAAGAGCTAAACCCACTTAGGATGATCTGAATAAATGGCAAGACTGCAAAAAGTGAAGGATGGGAGTAATTCAGAGATCAACAGAGAAGTAAAAACCAGCAAGGAATGAATGAAAAAAGAAAAAAAGATGAGTGCAGGTTTACAGCAGGGCAGCAGAAGTGTTGCAATAACAAGAATATTTAGTAAATAGCAGTCAACAGATAAATCTGTGCAGCTGTGCAGGGCTCGACGGCCCATGTAAGGACTGCATGTTCTTATTAAACCCCAGGAGGCCCACATAGTGACACAGAACCTGCATTAGGAAGAGAAGAGACGAGTGCAGAATTATGAAAGGAGACAAGCTGAAATAGAAAGATCCAGGAAAGGTCAAGCTGGATACAAGCTGGCATTGTGTCCGTGGCTGAAATGCTAAATTACAAAAGGAAGAGCAAACTACTTGGTGAAAGTTTGGAAAAACAAGCTTAGCATTTAAAATGGCATTCAGTGCCATCTTTACTTTGGTTGACAGAAAGCCATGAAATCTCAGTGAGTAGTTTGTCACAGCCTAATTACACATCAGATTTTACACCACATTTAGTTTCTAAAACAATCCTAGGTCCAGTATCCAAACACATCTTAATCTGAATACATAAATGGCATACACATATGTATCTTTACCTTAGGGAGCATGGGTGTTGCTCTCTTGCTCTTTTTCTCTGAGGGATCATCCAGCAAGTCTGGCTCAAAAGTGTAGAGCTCAGCCAGCTCGTTCATTGTAAAGTGTCTCTCAATCTGCTGCTGGTCCACCACCCGGAATGAGAGAGACTGCTTGGTTACCTGCCGCTCATAAATCTTTTCCTCCATTGTACCCTGAAAGAAATGAGCAGAATGCTAAGGACCAAAAACAACTAGAGATTCACTTACTAAGCAGTAAGTCTTCTCAGTATGAACACTGCAACTCGTCCTGCATTAGTGTTACAAGCAGCTTGTCAGTTTGATTACTAATCTAAACTCCTTACCACTGCCTAACTATAAATTACATGCTTTTACTGATTAGTGTGACTTTTCTTTGCTCACAGCATATGAGATGTGTTATTATTGAGGGCGTGGAGGAGTGCTAATTAACCAAACTGTCCTAGAAACTCATGATGTGTCAAAAACATGAAGTATAATAATAAAGTAGCAAAAAAAAGTGTTTGGTTGGTAACAGATGACACATGGCAACAGTCCGTCGGCAGAAATAAACTAAACAGTCTGTCCAGTTCACCTGGGCCAGGAACCTGTAGACATAGACGGTCTTAAGCTGGCCAAAGCGGTAGACCCTGAAGATACTCTGGATGTCATAGGAGGGGTTCCAGGAGGCGTCAAAGATTATGACCCTGTTGGCTGCTACCAGGTTGATGCCAAGTGAGCCGGCTCGTGTTGAGATGAGGAACAAACGACCTCTGAGGAAGTATAACAGTAGAGTTATAAGGGATTATGTAACTAATAACTGTGAAGCATGCTGCTGTAATGTCCACCATCTAAATTTAAGCAGCATTATTATAGGTTCAAGTGACTGAAAAGTTGGGCCTCATTATTGCTCTGTTCGGTTTAATATGATGACAGGACATTACCTTGTGTTACTGGTGTCGTTGAAATCTTCAGCCCACTTCTTCCTGGTGGTGGCATTGGTGGATCCATCCAGGCGGTAATAGTCAACGTTTCTGTACCACTTGCCTTCACCTTCACAGACACAATATTGTTAAGAAATCAGCTCTGACTATTCAACATCACCATGTTTGCTCCACAAAACCTTCACAAATACCAGCTAGGGCTTCCCCTTGTCAATAGGACTTAGCAGACAGCAGATAGATGGTTGTGTTGGTTATAGGCCAACTGTGTTTAGCCTTCATGATCACCAACCCCCCTACCAGCCTACATAAGCAACATTTCAGTATGTTTGCAATTAGAGCACTGTGATCTTTTCATTACAAATTACAAACCCTTGAGCAAACATTTTTCGTGGAATATAAAGTCAAGGTCTAATTATTTTCAAAATGAAAGTAAAAACAGCTGCTGAAGTTTAATTAGGAACATGACCTTACACCGGCAGCTGTTTGTGTGCGCGTGTGTTCGTGTGTGTTCAAGGGTAATAAGCATACCAGCATGTACAGGAATACATGTTGCATATGGGCTGTCTTACAAGTGTGAAACCTGCATCTCCATATGAAAACATTCAGCCTTTTTACACAGCTAATGTTAACATTTTATCTCTCTCACACACAATTTAGTCAGACCACAATATAAAATCCTCAAAAATGAAACTCAGAACACACAACTGTGTTCCTCAATCAGCAGCTGACTTATAATTTTAAACATTGCTTGGTTCATTTTAGCACATTGTGAAACCAAGAGCAGCCTTTCAGATCAAAACATTCACAATGAAAGTTGATCAAAGGCAAATATAGGATCATTCAGTAAAGTAAGGTTAACAGACATGTCACCTGTGCACAGTGAGAACTTCTTGGAAAAGAAAGAAAAAAAAAAAAAGATGTCACACTGAAATGTACCTTTGTATGGAGAGATTTTGTCTTCATCATTAGCTCTGCAAGCCAGTTCAAGGAAATCCTCAATCAGGTCCAGAGAGATAAGAGACTGACTGAACACCAACCTGAGGACACATAAGGATCATCACGTTTACCACGGGTACATACCACTGTGACTAGCCCAAACAAGTCTGAGGTCACTATAAAAAGCCACTGCAGAACAGCTTCTGTTTCCCCAGAGAATTCAGACACACTTACACTTTCTCATCTACTTCCTCTGCCATGCGCAGGATCTCAAAAAGGAGCACCATCTTTCCGGAGTGCTCCAGGACCTCAGCATCGGCCTCGGTGACAAACTCCTTGTGCCAGTCAGCAGTCGGACTCCCTGGTGCTGAGCCAGAGGGCCGAGCTTTTGGTGATACACAAAGTTCGTTTTCACACAGTGAGATTTCAGCACAAGCTCTAACAAGCACATCAAGCTTTCCATACTGAGCTTTAGTGTTACACATTTTATTACATTACAGCAGCAGATGTTAAAGCAAGAATATCACTTGTGTCATTTTGGGCTAATCTATTAATCCGTTTAAATACAACAACCAGTTAATCAGGCATTTACTCAGGTCAGCTGTATCATTAATAGACAGAACTAAATAACTTTGTGGTTTATGAGTCTGAGTCACTGAATAAATACAGTACTTAGTTTAAAAATTAAAGCAATAAGGTGTTTTTGTTGCCATCTAAAAACTAGTGCATAACATTTGTAATTTCTTTTGTCCTCTGCCTCTAATTTTCAGACAATATAGGAGCAAAACTTCAGTTCATTCATTCAGGCTGCCCTCTACAAGGCTACTACACCCCTGAAATTAACACATGGAAATAAGTGGTGAATGGTATCACCTGTTTTCAAGGAAGGCGAGAGCCATGTTCCTATTAGTGCTGTCACAATACCGGAATTTCTAACTTTGATACGATACCTTGAAAAATATCGATATTCGATACCAATATCAAGCCTATCTCACACAATTATATTCTTATTAACTAAAATGAAACGAAGTATAATTTAAAACTCTGTTCATGCAATACACCATGGTCTGTTGTTATCTTAAAATCCAACCGGAGTAAATGAGATAAGTGACAAGAGGCAGACAGCACTGTGAATGAGTGAGAGGAGGCAGGGCTGTGGGCGTAAACTTGCTGTCAGAGAGAGCAAAGAGAGAATGCACAGCTGGTATCAGTCTATCAATACTATGAGAAACTGATACTGAAGCTTTTTCAAATATTAATAATCAATATGTTTGAAAACTCATTATTTTTGACAACACTAGTTCCTCTACATACAGTACTCAGCCCACTGCCCAGAACGTCCCCTAATATAAAGTACATACACCAGACTTACATTCCTCTACAGGCTCTACTCTGTTCCGACCCTCCCCATTTTTGCCACGAGAGCTGGAGTTCCACTCCTTGATGACCTCCACATCATCACTGTCCGACTGTGAGGAGTCTTCAGATCCCTTCTTTTTTCCCTTCCCTTGTTTCTTTTTCCTATCAGGGTAGGAGCATTAGTGGAGGACACGGAGGAAGAGGAGACAAGACGAACAGATGCAAAGTGAAGAGCAGTTAAATTTGGGTATCTCTGCTTAAATGTACACAGGAAAAAAAAGCAGTGAATCTGATTTTACTTTTTGAGCTTCTCATCCTCAGATGTCATACTTGCAGAGGATTCCTCTGTTTCTGACGCAATGAATTCCTCCATGCTGTCCTCGTCAAAGAAACCCTGCAAGAGTGCACTCGCGTAAGTCTTGGCCATGTGGTGTAATAGGTCAGTCACACAGAGCTGGATCATGGGTAGCAGAAATGATGGATAAGGGAAACGTTGTGCCACAGTGGCAATAGGTGTTGTCCTCACCTGCTGTGTGATCTGTCTGAGCCGATTCCTATTGCTTTCCTAGTGTGTGTGACTTACATTAATGTAGTCCCAGTTTATGAGTTTGTGTTTAGTGTGGTTTAGTCTCATTTTCCCCAAACCTACCCTGTTTTCTTTACTGATGTAGTCCAGCTGAAGGCACCAGGGATGGGTCCAGATTCTGCTGAGCATCTGGAAATCCTGGAAGAGTTTGGTCCCTGTGCGGCCTCGGCCCCCATCCAAAGAATTCCCCACACCTGCACACAAGGGAACGAGTGTGATGGATATGAGTTTATATTATGTAATCTACAGTGTGCCCTCAATCTCTTCATATATACAGTTGAATGTGGAAAATGAAGGCCAACAAGACTGTCGGCCCCAAACCACCTAAGCATGAACAAACTGGCATAAAGTCAGTAATCACACAAAACAAATTAAGCTAAGTGTTGGCCTTAAATGTCCAGTCTAGACGGTGTGCTGTTTAATCTGCGGCTTCATATTTAAATGAGGGCCAGCTACTAAAATGTTAATGTTGTTTCCTGTCTGCATGTTGGCCTGCACTGACCCCTAGAGGTCAAATATTACAATGGGTTTTGCATAAGCAACAGCAAAAGGAGGGGATATGTGTGGCCCTTCATGCTATAGAAACTGACTGATGGTCTTGGATCCACAGACACCACTGTGGAGGTCCAGCACCATGCCCTATGGACAACCCATCCTAATGAGCCACAGCACATCATACTAACCCCCATGCTGACTCTCCTCTTCGTTTTCACTTATGGTGTTAAACCTCCGGGCCCTCCTCCCTCAAAATCTATTTCCTTTTCCCTTATGCCTCCACATTTGCCCTCTTTTAGCCCCCTTTTCCTCTGTTCCCTCTCTCCCAGAGCTCTTCATCAGGGAGATGTGAGAAACTGGGCTTAAACCTGCTTGTGACACTCTGCCAGCGCGCGCGCACACACACACACACACACACCTACAGACAAATATCCTAGGCCACATTCAAAGAGAATACTTCAACAACTTAACAATGCAAACACAAAAAAGAGAGACACCTCCCATTTATTTAAAAACCTAATCTGAGGAAATGACATCCAGTCAAAAGGGCACTTTTAAGGGCAATAACTCTTCTACTTGCAGTAGAATTTGGCCTAGTCCTGGACTACACAGGGTTTTCAGTGGAATTCTGAAATGAATGTTGTTTTAGTCTCAGACTTTGTTAAACCCCCATCTAAGCTCTGCTGCCCCTCACACCCAAAAGAATATATTTAGCATATATAGTTTCAACTAAGCAAGTGACGGTGTCTTGTCCAAACTGTGTGGCTCCCAAAAGCCCAAAGCTTCATCACAGGATGGGCCTCACCTGTGAAGTGCTCCAGGTAGTATCTGTAGAGTTTGCACTGGATTGGAGTCATTCTAATTGACAACACATATTCATGTTTGGGAGGCAGGAACTTGGTGAGAGCTGTGTAATCCTTCCTCTGTGAGAAGCAGAAACATTTTATTTAGGCACTAACACGTGGTAGGTTAAAAAGAATTTAGCTGTTTAAGCCTTTTTCTTTTACCTGGACACAGCCGGCCAGCATCTCGTAGAGGATATGAGCCCTCTTCTTCATGATGCGGACATCATGTAGTGTGGAGTCAGCACACTGGCCGTTCTGGATGGGGTTAATGAAGCGGTTCCTGAACTCCTTTACTGAGCCAAGCAGGTTTTCCTTGATGAAGTTCACCATGCAGTGGTCTGGTAGGCAAACAGTATTTCACAGTTTTTAGAAACATCTACAGCACCTTGGTGTAATGGCATCTACAGCATATAAAACTAGGAAGTCTCACATTCAATAAGGTTGTTTTGCAGAGGCGTTCCAGTCAGCACAATCCTCCTCTTTGTCCGGATGGAGTTCATCGCCTTGGACACAGCAGACGCCTCGTTCTTCAGGACGTGGCCTTCATCACAGATGACCAAGTCTGGACCTGGTGTAAGTGATGAGGAAAAAAAAAAAGTCTTATGACAGGGAGAAGAAGAGCTGGAGACATATTTACTGTGAAACTGGTTATGTCTCTCTTTTTCTGAGTGATGTCACTTGGACTTCATTCAAACAGATCCTGTTATACTTAGCTCTGATAACATTCTGAACAGATGACGGCCCTGAACCGACACCTCCTTTCATGCAGATAAAAACGTAAAAGAGAGGCTAATTCAGCAAATGTCACATATGGTATCAGTGAATTTGTAATAGAATTATAACAATAATCTTCTGAAGGGTGCCCGATCATAAAATCCTTACTTGAAGAAAAAAAAAAAAAAAAAAAAATCATCATCTTTCTTACTAGCACCACCAATATTTTGTTCACTTGACCAACAAGTAAAAAAAAAAAACAAACTAATGAAAGTAACCTTGGAGTGATTTAAAAGTTGCATTATTTCAGACACGACTGTTCGGACTGCACAAGGCAGAACTGCCACATTCTGTTGACTTTAAGTTTTACTAACTAACAGTGACATATCATTGTACCTGGATCCACCAGTGTTTTCTGAAAGATCTCTTTGAGCTTCTTGCTCTTGATGTTCCTGCCCTGCGTCAAGTTGCGGTACATCTCGTAGCCAATGATCATAACGCCGCCGTTCTCTTGCCATTGCTGGAGGGCGTACGCTCGCTCCTGTGGCCTCTTTACGGTGGCCAGTTCAGTCACCTGTTAAACACATCTAAGATCAGTATGCTGTGTGTAGACAAACACAAAACAAACACAAACAAATAAAGTCTTAAACGGTGTGTATTGAAGAACAAATGCACACTCAAAACAATACATGCCATTACCTCTAAACTTTCTTCATCCATCAATCCTTCTTGCCATTTCTCAAACTCATTGAGCCAATTAAGGACAGTGTTCAGGGGACAGACCACAAGTGCTGTATTGAAAACAAGCTTTTCACATAGCAGCAAAGTATGAAGAAATGTCACCACCTACAGGGCAAAAAAAAAAAAACACAACTGAGCACAGTAGCATGGCAGACAGTGATTCACTGCCCAGGGTTTTACAAGCTCAATAAGCAGCTCACATATGAAATTCTCAGAGTGCAACAGAGCAGATTTGTAAGACCTTAAAAAAAAATTGCATTAGGCTTCAAATTGGACAAGACTAGCTGTACATCAAAGTAAAAGCAGTGAAGCCAAGCAAAGAATTTCATGTTAGCATTATACAATTTCAAATCATGACTAATATTAGATGTGAAAAATCACAATTATGCAAGTGATGGAGCATTAAATTATAAATGTGTTTACAAGTAAAGCTTGTTACCAGCTACCTGGTCCTAAAGCATTTGTATTTCAAGGATCAGTTCAGTAATGTTCTCTGTTTTTCCCATATGTGCAGCTTAAAAAAATTATTTTATGCCTTTGTGATGTTGCTCAGCATTAGTGTAATTTATTTGGGAGGCAGAAAAGCATGCTTCTCTCTTTACCTGCAGAGTTTTTCCCAGGCCCATACAATGAGCAAGTATGCAGCCGGAGCCAGGAGACTTCTCAGTCTTCTTCACAGACTCACAGCAGCAGTCCCACATGAACTGAACGCCTAAAATAAAACACAGAGGGGATGACGTTATTGCACAACAGGCTTGTCTTGACTAATGTTGCTGTTAAGCCCAAAGGTTTTGAGGACCCGAAATTAGTTTGTCTTTACCGTCAACCTGGTGAGGTTTGAGCTTTGTGACAAGGTTCCTGTGCACTTGTACCATTGGCTCCTTGGTCTCTTCATTCTCATCCAGCACCAGCTTGGTGGTGATGGGACACGTCACCTGGGAAGATTCCTCCACAACAATCTCCTGAAGAAGAGCCAGAGGCAGGGAAGGAGGAGTCACACAAAAAGGTTTAAGTTTGGAAAAAAAAAGTGAGTCAAATATTACAGGTTTTACTTTTAGTCCCTCAAAGCCTATCCAGAGCTGTCATGCACCTACTGAGTGGAGGCCTCAGACAATGAACTCCAGCCATACATAGTTATGCCTTCTTCTGTTTATCACACTTTCATGAGCAGATTCTGGACTTTAATTACTTAAACCTGACCCACCCGCAGGCCGAGTTAATGCCTCTTAGCAAAACACAAAAACACACTGAATTGTGTAACATATGGGCTTTTCTGATGCTGGACTTTGTGTGTAAGGGTCCCCCAAAAAGAGAAGTTAAAAGACAGGCATGGACAGCTGAACTGAGGAGAAAGGACATCAGTGACCACTCAGTTGTCTGCAGCTGCCATTTCAAACCAGAAGACTGATAGGACTGGACAACGCGTTTAAAGGAAGGGGTGACCCCATTTCTTTTTACATTTCCAGACCAAATGTGCACAGTCAGTGCCACTGGCAAAGTGTTTCTACCTAAATGCAACTCTGACTCATTTATTCCTGCAAATTGTACCCAACTGGTTCATCTGAATCGGTAACAGTTAACTGCAACTCTGTCTGCACAACCCTTCCAATACACTGTAAGCCGTCTATAAATATTGTATGTAAATAAAGTGCGATCAAATTCAAATGAGCAAAATATGAATATTTCACTAAAAAGGTAATTAAAAAGAGAACTGTGTAGCCTGCCAAAAAAAAATCTATTTAATCTTTTAACTCTATAGTGCTTGTTGCAGTTATGTACTGTTTATTCATTCTTTATTTACACAGTTGCATATGAAATGTTATCATGGCTGTCACTGTACAATGCACAGGTGTGGCAGGACGGGTGCTTTTTAAAAATTACAATGTGTGTGCTCATTTTAAATATTTTGGTTACATTCTGCAAAGTGTTTTGATAAGAAAATCTGAATTTTGAATTTAGCCAAACATCCTGTTTCATACTTATGTGTGTGGGCTTTGTAACACAACAAACATTGTGGGTAGAAGACAAAATTTCATTCCACTTTTACCTCTCGAAGTTTTTTTCTAAGAGCCTCTCTCTCTGCTATACGTTTTCTCCTCTCTTCCTCTTCTTTCAGAGCATCTCTCGTCTCCGTACGCAGCTTGTCATCCTTCAGGATTTTGCGGATCTTTTTGCGTCCTTTACGTCCCTCTCCATCTTGATCCTCGCCATCTTCGTCTCCGCTCTGTGGGAATAAATATTAAAGTTCAGTCTTCTGATCTTTAGCCCTTAGGCAAAAAAAATTCACTTCCTGTAATGAACAACCTTATGATTAATTTGTTCCCTCCATACTCCTCACAACACACTCCAGGGGTGAGTTCAAATAACATTTTGTGTCATGCATGACTTGACTAGTAAATGTTATGTAGGTCCAGTCCCTCCACTCCAGCAAACCGTGCCATGGAAAAGAGACATTTTGGCACATTTCAAGACTACAACCTAGTGCACTGCATTTAAAACACCTTCTCATTGCTAGAAGAGGAATCCTGAACTTTGATCCTGCGTCGCTTCTTCTTCTGCTTGTAACTTCTCTGGTTCTCCTCATCCTTCTTCTTTGAAGATCTACAGAAATAAATCAGACTCTAAGCAAGAGCAGGATATTACTCTACATCGAGTGGCAGTGAAATAAATTACCACCACAATCTCTCTTCTCACCTGGTTTTTCGACGCTTTTCCTCGTCCTCTGATTGACTAACCGCCTCGCTTATCCCCGACTCTGCATCGGACTCCGAGTTCTCAAAGTCTGAGTCTGCAGAGTCGTCACTGTCCACTGAGATACAGAAACCAAAGTCATTCGCCAATCTGACAGAGCTCAGAATATTTGCACCCTTATCAGACACACACAGCTAATTAAAGGAAATTTAGAATGAACCTTTCCGTCCTGACTTCTTCTTGCCTGCCTTCTTCTTCTTCTTCTTGTGACTAGAAGCGTTCTCCTCGTCTGATTCACCCTCACTCAGCGAGAGTTTATGACGAAGCAATTTGTGCCGCCTGCCATGTTTCTTCACTTCAACATCAGAACCGGAGTCTTCTGTATCTGTATCATCTTCAAGGAAACACATCGTTTGAGACAATACACAATGACAAAGGCTTATTTGAAAACAGATGGCTATCGTCAGAAATGCACGCTACCTTGCTCCTCCTCTTCATCTTCATCGACTTTTTTAACTTTCTTCGATGGCTTTTCATCCTTGTCATCATTATCAGAGGAGCTCTCTGCTCCTGAAGAATAGTTGGATTTTATTTGGGCAAGAAGCATTTTCTTTGCAATCCTGCAGAAGAAAAAAAGACAGACAAAACAGGAGGGTTCACATTAACCACAAAAAGTTGCCCATACAAAATAACTTTAATGATGAAAGAAAATATTTATCTGTGGTAGCACTTATGTTTAAAATAAAGAATAGAGACATTTTAAATTCTTTCATGCATCATGTGAATGTGAAAATGTAATATTCACAAACAAAGTGCGCTTTTCTTTTCCTGCTAATTACTGTCTCTACAGTTATCTACTCTTGACTGTCTTCACAACCAGCTGAAGGTACCTTTGCAGTTTGCTATTGAAGTACCTGTTTTCAGGGTCATCATCATCATCACCTTCTTCACAAAATCCAGAGACTTCTTCTTTATCATCCACTTCATCTCCTAGACAACAAAATGACACATGCTGTTAAATGAAGAGCAGGCAACTCAATAAAGGAATAATTTCACATTTTGCTTTGCTGCCTGGAAAGACCAAGTTACTTTCTAAACTACTCCTTTTGTGCAGACTAAACAAATGGGATATAACAGTATGCTTTACCATACTGATCTGAGTCATCATAAGCACAGCTCCCAAAGGTTTTACTTTCTTATAGTGTATTCGTTAGCGAGATGCCGAGCTGAGTGCTAATAAACATTCAACTCTTCTAGACCAAATTACCTGAGGATTGATGTAAAACTCCACTACCTCCCAGCACATTATCCTCCACAAGGGGTTTGATCTTTTCTTCATCACTGTCCTCTCCGGAGCCACCTTCAGACTGCTGCTGCTCCTCCTCATTCTCACTGGATGATGACTCCAGCTTAGTGGCTGCTTTGAGATTCCTTCCCTTGAGCTTCTTTTCGTAAGACCTTTTGCGCATGGCTATCTTCTTCTCAAGCAGGTTTTTGTCTTCCTCTTTTGCTTCATTATGTTTCTTCACACGACTCGATCTCCTCTTCACTGCGCCCATTTTGGTTTTTGTTTCCTTCCCCTGATCAGACTCAGAGTTAGAGGACTCTGAACTGTTCTGTTTATTCTTTTTACTTTTGTTCTCCAAATCCGAATCAGAGCTTTCAGGCTTCCTTTTACGTTTGACTGTTTTGTCTGTAACCTGTATGGATGTGTTTAGTTTGAGCAAGTGCTTTTTAGTACCATTGCTTCCCTGCTCTTCATCTGTGCTGTGACCTTGTGCAGCTTTCTCTAACAGTATGTGAGGAACTTCATCTGAGTCAGAATCTATTTTCTTTTTCTCTGAAGCTCTGGTCTGCCTCTCGTCCTCTTTTTTGGTGTTAATGGACTTCTTGGAGGATTTGGACTTGCTCTTTCCCGCCTCCTCCGACTCTGACTCAGAGGTAGGTTGCTTCCTTTTCAGCTTGCTTCCTCAAAGGAGTGGTCTTCACTCTACTAGAGCGACGGCTGGGTGGTGGGCTGCCTAGCTCATCTACTGTATCAGCAGCATCCTTCTCCTCCTTATATTCTTTTTCTTTACACTTTTCTGGCAGCTCACCATCTTTTTCTCTGTTTTTGTGTCTGGAGGACCTTGAATCACATGTCGTCGCAACTGGGACAGGAGTCAGCTTGACTATGAGGTTCTTTACTTTGGGCTGGGGGTGCTGAGTTTCTGTTGAGCTGCCATTTGACTTGGTATCACTGTCTATGACCACATCAGTTTCAGTCTGTGAGAGTGTGGTGGAATCCGCCAGACTCGCCACCATTTGAAAAAGCTCTTCGGGAACCGAAGGTGGCACAGACATAATGTCGTCATCTAGAGACATTTCACCAGCGGACACTAGCCCATCATTACAGACTTCAGTTTTAACTGCCTCTTGAGTTACATCCACGTCTGTTTGGTTGTCTTTCATTTCAGTCTCATTTAAACTTTGATCCTTGTTCACCTCCTGCTCATTATGCTGCTCCTCGTCCAGCTCCTCCGCTACGTTAGCCTGATCAACTGCTTTCTCCACAGTATCCATATGATCATTTTCTGCAGAGGCCAAAACATCGGTGCTCTTTCTTGTTATATGCTGTCCTCCATTACCATTCTGCAACTCCATATTTCTGAACTCAGGTTCCAAAGCAGCTTCCAAAGCACTGTGTGCTTTTTTCAAATCGGCAAGCACGGCCTTGAAGGCCTTCAAATGTCGGTACCTGACAGACACTTCTCCCTGCTCCTCAGCTTTCTGCTGGATGAACTGGATGAATGTGTTGTTCAGGCCAGTTGTAGTTTCAACCAGCTTTTTTGCTTTCTTTATAAGTTCTTTGGGTACCTGCAGTTTTTTGAAGGTAAAAATCATGGTCCCTGAGCCCTCGACGTGTTCTTTTCCATTGACAACAGCTTTGTGCTCTTTGACTGATTTGTTCTTATGTCTCTTTCTCTCACTTTCCTCTGTTTTATCCGTCTTTCGTTGCTTGAGTTTCACAAGTTCTTGTTTTTCCATGATACGGTGGCATTTGGAGACCAGGTCCTGGAGGGGCTCTGGAATGCAGACATAGCAATGCCACTTGGAGTTCTCATCAGTAATTACTGACAGCTCCTTCCTGCCCAGGTTGCGCAGAATGCACTTCTTGCAGAAGGCGTTGTTGCAGTAGTCACAGCAGATGAGCTTACCTCCTTCAGCACACCACCTGAGGAGGACAGTCCAACAGAGTTTTAGCATATGAAGCAAATAAGGTCATCAAAAATCTTAAGAGTCAAGACCCCCAATACAAAGGTTTCAAAAATTATTGGCCTTTAAGTCAACACCGAGTCAAAATCTGATTGAACCTAAAAATCTACAAAAGACTCATTTGAGGAAAAACAAAGAACAATGAATAAAAGGGACAAATACATCCTAAACATTTAATTAAACATTCATCTTTAAGGGGCATTCAAAGCACATACAGCCAGGTCCAGTCAGGTTATACTGTGACACAATTTTTTGTAATTTTGCCTCTGTATACCATCACAATTGATTTGAAATGAAGCAATCAAGATGCTACTAAAGTGTAGACTTTCTGCTTTAATTCAAGGGATTTAAAAATATCGCATTAGGAATTAGCCATTTTTATACATAGTTCCCTTATTTTCAGAGGCTCAAACGTAACTGGACAAACTAACATGAAAATATATTTAATTATTACTGTTAATACTGAGATACAAATCCTTTGCAGTCAATGACTGGCCTGAAGTCTGAGTATGTCACGTACTTTGAACATACGAAAAGGAACCATCACAGTTAAATCAATATATTCTTTTGTGCCGAGATGCCAAGGCAAGAACTTACATTAGAATTCATACCTTATTACTTCGATTGTGTATTTCCATCATTTTAAAAGAAAACATCATAAGGTTTCTCTTGGTCCTATATAAAATGTCATACCTGCACTGTTCATCCATCCCATCAGAGTCTTTGCTGATGTCATCACTCATGTAATAATTATAGCATGACTAGAGGAAGAGGAAATACTGTGGTCAAATGCCATGAGCAAGAATGGAAAGCCAAAAACCGTCAGAGTTGAATTTCCAATAAGTGTGATAATTATGTATCTGGACATTCCTACCTTGCAAATAAGTACTTTGAGTGCAGGATGCTTATACACAGAGTTGCGCTGAAACTGATTTACTTGTTTTCCACAGGCAGTGCAGCTTACCTTCTTCTGCAGGGCATCATCTGCGATAAAAACAAAAGATATTTATTACCTTCATGTTATCCATTTCATTTATATTCGAAATCTATGCGAACATCACCATACCAAACATGTACAGTATCAGAATAATAACTGATGCAATCACCTGTATACTTCTGTTTGAAATCCACTCTGAGCTTCATGGCACCTTTACTTTCATTCCCAGCTGGCCTCATCACTAATGTGCCTAAAAAAGGAAATGGTAAAATGTCTCCCAGAATCTGCATCCTACTCAGCACCAGTAATATCAAGCCAAACAAGTATTTCCATAGTTCGTACCTTTAGATGTGCTGCCCCCGTTACAGTCTGAAGGATTTTCAGACATGGCACCTTCATTTTCACTCTCAGCAGAGGCCTCAGATTCCTTCAGTCCAGTGTGCTTTGCTACAGTAGCGGGCTTCCTAAAATGTGTTAGCAAAAGGATTTAATATTCTGGGACTGTGAGAACATGTAACTGCAAACAGAACAAAAAATTGTCACATTTAAGAAAAATGATCTTGACCTCTTATTCCGAGAAGAGGAAGGCTTCATAGTTTCTGCTGAGCTGCCAGGCTGATGAAGAAATAAAATATATTTTAACCACATGACATGAAAAAAAATTAATAACAGTAAAACCTTCCTTTTTCTACTACTGTCAACATGCTGCTGCAAAACATACCTCGTTTTCTTTTTCTGCCATTTGGTCTAGACTTGACTCAGAAGAAACCAGACTCATATTACCTGCAGAGACATTTGAAGATTGTTTCCTTATGAACATACCACTAAATTAAGATGTTGTATGCTATTAGTAACTATCACTGTACAGACATAGGTCTTTAAGTGTGCATGTTTTCACCATAGACAGGGTGGCTGGAAATGTAAATGCTTAACGTTACAGCCAATGTGTGGGGTTTTCCTCTAGGTCAGAACAAACACAACAAACAACACAACAAAAGTGACTCCATAACCGGATATCGTCAATAAGAATTGAGATCGCTGCATTTCTGTTAATATATGACAATCGACTTTCCATGTGATTATTTGCAGCACTTCACTCTTGAGACCGAGGCACCGCCGTTTATTTAGTCGTTTCGCGTCATCATCGTGTGCTGATTAGATCGCTGAGCTGTATGGAGCTATCACTCAGCCCTGCCAGCAGCAACCTGGCCTGAAATCTATCCAAAACCCTGTGCTAGTCGAAGAAGATGGCACGCTTGTCTTTTCTCCATTTGCCGCTCTCTGTCTTGCATGCAGCCTTTTCCTGTTTTGACAACTCGGGAACTCCTGACTATCAGGTATGTCATGTTTAGGCTTGCTAACATTTGCAGGTTTAGCTATCTCCATTAATGCAGGACTACTTCTTTTCACTGGCCCATGTTGCCCTGGCAACCTTGCGGTCTCGGCAGTGCATACAGGGTCCATTGCATGGGCATGCACCGACAATGCATGCACAGGCCCTCCCTCTGATGTTAACATGGCACGAACCATAAACGCAGCTTGGCATCACCTAGCATAGGCAGCATCCAATGTAGCAAGGAAACGAGCTAAAAGAAATTACATTTTTACAAATAAGTACATTTTTTATGACTGTGGCAACCATCCAGGAATACGCATGTGCATGTGAACCACATCAGAATGTGCATGTTTACGAACTTGAACAATGCCGGCTGCGCAGCTATTAGCTACCGCTCAACTAGCCTAGAATGCTAACTTAGCAACGGTTAGTTAAGGCCCGGTTCGCCGCTAGCAGTGGCAATCGATGCAAAATTGACTAATCTAAACAAACAAACTAAACTGTATTCCTACCTGCTTTTCACAGTCCTTATTTCTTGCCTGGCAAAGCCACGTTTTGCTTTTGGTAGAGGAGGCACAGTTCAGTCCAATTTGCTAATTTTCGATGGTACGATAGCAAAAAAAAAGCAATTAAATACCGAAACAACTCCGGTCAGGGTAGACAAAGCAAGGGGACCATCTTGCCGGATGGCTGTGGACGCAGTAAAATGGCGCATGTATCCTAAATCCTGTGTGCTCTCTCATTGGCTGACTGCCTCTGATGCTCTCCCGCACGGAGAAGTCCAGGATCATTGGTGCGGGGAAGGAAAACATTGCTGGCGGCGTTTCCGCTTCATTCATTTGTCCATCCAGCGAAGGGCGCGCTGCTGTAAACGCACATTTTCTATGTGTGGGGAAGAGACAGCTAAATAATAAGACACATAACTGTAAAATAATGGGAATATATTGCATTCAAAATAAAATCAAAGGCCATAATTATCATATATAAAACGTAACCTCTACGTATATAAAGTATTGAAAATAGAAGTATGATACTTATTATCCAGAGAAAAGGCCCCAGGAACTGACTTTAATGGGTCCCACAGATGGCAGGCGATTAATGTGATAGGAAAAAGAGAAAATTCATCTCTGCCATACAAATTTGTATTCGTGTTTTGGACTTTGAACAGAATAGGCAATTTAATGGGACATCTTGGATTATTTTACTGGGGACCCTGAACCCAACTACAAAGGGACTGTTAAGCTTTCTGTTAGAAATTCAATGACTACAAAACAATAAATAGCCACAAAATGAGAAAAACTAGAAAACAAACTTAAAACAACCACAAAGATATACAAAACGACTAAAATAACTACAAAAATATGCAAATCAGCAAAAACATACACAAAACTACAAAAACATTTTAAAAAGCTAATAAAAATAGTCAAAAAAACGTGTGGACAAAGCAACAAAAAGACACAAACTAACTATAATCACATGGTTGCTTAGTGAGTCTTGTATCTGCATGTGTTAGAGAGGTAAGTGCCTTTCCTTGTACTTGTTCATTATCTGTCCATGGAGCTGCCAACCAGGCACATGCTTTTTAGTAAGGGGCAACAAGCCAAAGAGTTTGAGAACGATTAATCAATGAATCTTATTTTATGAACAATGATGTGAGCATTATGCATTGGAATCTTATTTTATGAACAATGATGTGAACATTATGCATCGTATAAATAACAAAATATTATTTGAACTTGGGGCCCTTTTCTAGGGTTGTCAGCTGGAGGTGCAGTAGTGCAAAATATGCATCAGCAGAAGTGACAAGTATAAGACGCATAGATGTTGAAGTGTTAGTGGCTGAGATGATATCGACTCAATTTCAGCTATAACCCATCAAACGAGTCAAAACAGAGTCACTTTGCTACTCTGCTTTTCATGTCAATGTTCAAACTGGGACTTGCGTCCAAGTTATTGACTTCAGGAATGCTGCCTTGGCCTGTCTTTGATGGCAACCGTGACAATTTACTTAAACTATTTAAGAGTGATATCTTTTAAAAAATTGGTTACAGGATCAATAAGAAGATTAATAATCAACTTTAACTTTCAGTATTTAATAATATAATTCTTCTGTATTTTTAAGAATGACTGACAGATGGGCAGGCATTTAACTGAAACAGCTGTTTTGCGGTCTTATTACCTGAAAAGTAAAACTGACTCAGAATCTCACAAGTTTTTTTTTTTTTTAATTTTTTGTCAGTCAGATTTTCCGCTTCCTAATGTGTGGGATAAAGGTAAAGGCTTGACTCAAAATATTTCCCAAGTGCCTACACAATGCAGTCATAGCAGTCTTAATAATATCCATTACATTCATAATGGCTCTATACTGGCTCACTGTCATATGCTTTAATGGGACTTGGTCATCTTTCACTTCACCATCCCCACTTGAGCTGCTGCAACAAGTCAAAATGTCTGATGTGAAAAACTGCATAAGCATTTCAGTTTCACAGTATGCCACAATAAAATCATGATATTTGGTCATTCAACAGCTCTGCGTTCTTTTCAATCCTTACATATTAGAAAAGCAATAAGATACAAGGTAATGACTCACTAGATGATGATCAGAAATTCTTGGTGAGGACTTCACAGATAAAAGAATGCGCAGATAATTGCTTAGTAAGCGATTATTAGAAGGATGTGCACCTAGTGGAACATTTGATAGCAAAAAGGATGGGTATCTCCATTTTTGGTGTCTTCCTCTGCTGACGTGTCTGTATCCTGTGGTCACAGAGTGACAGGGTGATGACAGTATAAGTAGAGTAGTAAGAGTAAGAGGAGTATTCAACTTTTCTGGTCAACGTGACAGTGCTGGCTGACAGGCTCTTTCAAAGACATGGAGAACCTCAATATTCAAAGTCTTGTGCTGAGGATGATGATGCTGGTGGTGATGGTCTATGCAGCATCATTACCTTTACGTACTGAATCTCCTAAAGACTTTCTAAAGCAAATTGATGAAAAAGCAGAGATAATGGCCAAGGAAGTGGTAAGAAAACTATTAATCTACAAGTGGTTTGTTTGTTTGTTTGTTTGTTTGTTTGTTAATATGCTGACATTCTTATCTTGTTATTTAAGGCAAAAAACCCATGGATAGCGAAAGCATCAGGGGATTCCATAAAATGTGTGGTATGTGTGAAGTTTTTCATAATTACTGTGATTATTGTACAAAGGTATTTGACACACTAGATGTCATTTCCACTTTTTGCATGGAAGTTGTTAACTTTTGCTGGTTGCTCTAGACTAATTCAGTCCCAACCCCAGCTTGTTGATTATCGTTACTAATTGTGCCTCAATCTTCACAGAAACACTTCTTCTGTTTGGCTGAGAAGGCTCTGGAAGTGTCGCCTGAAGGTAAAAACCTCACCCGTCTCCTGAAACAGTACAACAACAGGGTAAGGAGGAATTCATATGTGGCTGACCATACTTTTTAGTCATAAACCACAAAACTTCAAATGGCTTGCAATGACTCTGAAAGACATTTGCTCTACACTGAATATGCTCTTTAACGTCAAACTTGCTCTCCATCATTTTAGCTGTGTAGTCAGCTCCATTTCTGTGCAATTAAAATTCCAACTATTTTATTGTGTTTCAGACTGGGGATGTCAATTGTACACTGAATGGGAATAGAGAATACAAGCTAAAAGAATTACTGGCTGATATCCAGACGTGTGCTAAGAATTCCCTCTCCTCAAGTACAAACAAAACTAAGCATAACATGACACATGGAGCACACAAGAAGAGCCACGTAAATTAAAAAGATTTGAGTGTATACAGTACATTAAGTAACATGTATAATATGCATAAGTTATTTCTATTTATTGAAAATGTCATATTTATTGAAAATGTCATATTTATTTTCTTAAACATCTTATTTTTGTACTGCTGATATTTATATGTTAATAAATTATACTGTGACTGTGTTTTGTTGTTAGTCTCTCATTTTCACAGGGTGTCTACTTGTAGCATTTTAACAATCAGCAAATTATCCTTATCATTCAACTAAAACTAATCAGTCAAACAGTAACAGAGATTTTACAGTAAAGAACATCAGGCTACTCTGAAGACACCAATTATTTACTGGGTTTACAGACTCTCCTACAGTAGGGAGTGCCATTACAAATCAGCTATTTATGGCTGTTATGTGCGATTATGAGTTCTTTTCAAAAGACCATAAGCAATATGGAATATCCCATCAGATATTCCAGAAATGTCATGCAAGATCTGGAATATGATAATATAAAGTCTTAAAATGCTATTCACAATGTAGCTATTTCGAGTAAAATGTGCCACTTGCAGCTGCATTGGGTAGTCAGAGATTTTTGACCATAAAAACATGATCAAACCACTGAAAACAGGTTTGCAAGTCACCATGGCAGATTTAATAATGAAACAGAGAAACAGCAACAGGAATGTGAAATAAAACTAAATAATTTAATAAATAAAATATCAAGGGGTTTGGTGGATGTAAACATGACATACATTATGATACAAGTCAGTTTGCCTCCACTACAGAACATCAGAACATAAAACAAATTCCACAAAAATCTCATACTAGTGCATTATACTAAGTCATACGGTAAGTATGATATATCTCAACATTAACACAGAGTGTTGTGACATTTGAAAGTGAACAAGTGACTTGCTCAGATGAGCAAATGACACTAATATAAGAGCCAGCTAGCATGCATGCCCCTATGCTTCTGACCTACAGGTGAAAGTATAAATTGCACTTTTCAGTTGCACACGTGATACTGCAAACTCCTCTCCTCTTCTTGTTCCCTAGACAGTAATGTTTATTCTTGGTTTTCTCCACGTTAATGATTTTTTTGTATTCCAAGAAACACTAAGGCCTAAAGTTTGTACTCACGGAAGAAAAATCTGCATCCATTAAAGTGAAAATAGTGTTCATGGATCATTTAATACAAATCAGTGTCTCAGAAAGAAGGGAAAACAGAAAACTTCATTTGAAGGTAGTTTCTAGTTCACATCCGCAACGCTATTTACAACATCCTGTCAAACCTGGAGTCACATTGATTGTTGTCATTCTCAAAACCTCTGATGTTGCAAGTGTAATATGGTTATGGAAGCCTCACTGCTTATGTAAAAGAGCTTAATTTAAATGAAGGCTGCTGCCACTGAAATGCACTCCAAAGCAATATTGAAATGTTGGACATCCTCAGAGAAGTATAACACAATAATACAAACATCAGGTCCTCTTGGTCTTAGTCCTATATAGGGTGCTCTCCGAAAAACAGCTCCTTCACATTTTAAAACCGGTCAGCTATACAGTGTACTCAGATGACCTTTTAAATTATGTTCAGCAATATCTTCTTCAGCTTTGACTAATGATTTCTTTTCCTAAGATAACATGAAAGTTGCAGTGAAAGGTAGCTCTACTCTGCACTGTGTTCACTGCAGGAGGGATTCGATCACCGCTTCTGGCTTTGCAGATCTTTTCCTGTGTGAAGATGGGTGGACGATAAGTGTTATCAGCAACTTTAGAGAGCTTTAAGCGTGCTCAATTCTCAGAATAACAATATATCAAGATTAAAGTAAATATGATGAAGTATAACTAATCATCCACAACCAATAACTCTTTTGCTTATTCATAAGATTATTTAAATTATCTGACACAGTCTAACTTAAAGACAGATTTAAAAAAAAAAGTGTTAAAAGACAAGAGCTAAGAGTTTGAACAAATTAGCCTAGAATCAGGGTTTTACTTTTGATGGTTGCACTTAGTCAGTTCATGTGGCATTTCGAAGAAATTTCTGTGAAAAGGCAACCAAGAAGCAACAGAGATGGGTTAACCTATGACTGTGTAAACCACCTCAGTAGGTGGTCTAAGATGAACTATAGCCAGATGCTGAAAGGCGTTTCTCCAAGGCCCATATCATTACTGTGGCCAAGTGTCACTACATATGCTCATGTATGGTCTGTGGAGGTGGATATTTACACTATCTTCCGTTGTGACAACACAAGCTGAAGTGAAATTGCACTGAAATCAGCCATCTCCCCCTCTGTCACATGATAAGCAAAAGAACAGGTCATGATGTCAAAACAGGTGTTCAGTGTGCTGTTGTAGCATTTACTTGATCCCTGCTCAGTGCAACCACCGAATCATCCAAGCATTTTGTGTTGGTTGATGGATATTTATTAGGTAGCCTGCTAAATTTATATTGTTGCAACTTAACTGCTCAACTGTCCAAGTTATTGTTCTTTTATTTTTTGAAAGTTTCCAAACAGTTTCAGGTGCCTGTGGTCTGTGCAGAAGGTACAGTAGATTACCTTCGTCCAGTCTTAGGTCGGCCACTCTTGGTACTTTTAGATGTTCTGGGCCTCTCTAGTTTCATCAGTGACTGCCGCATGCTCTCCTCTGTGTAGGCCAGATACACATGGGACAGATCCACTTCAAATGGCTGCAGGAGGCACAGACAGAAGAGGAGAGAGAAAGTGGTCAGCAATAGTTGTCAAGGGGGGAAAAGAGAAAAATATCTGGAACGCCAATCACTGCACAAAAACAATTTTATAAAACTCACATCTTTTTCCTTTTTGTCTGGAGCAGGGGTCTGTTTTCTCATGTTGTTGCCCGTGTATGCAACACATTTCTAAAAGAAGTACAATAACAACACAGCATACTGAGAAGCAGCCCTTACTTCATAGTTTTCATCTTTAAAGTGATGTTAATCAAAGTGCAGACCCCAGTATGAGTTTCACAAAGTGGGCTCACCAGCTGCCATTCTCCAATGTCTTCGTTCCAGTGCACGTAATTCTCTATCATCTCCTACACAGGGAACATGAGAAAATATCAAATCTATGAACAAGGACAGACATTGTCGGCTTATGCAGATGTGCTAATGTGCGCCACCTACAGGAAAGAATTAACAGCTTCTGCAGGTTAGACACCTGTGCCACTTGCAGGCAATGAGTATTATAAATGCTTTTTTTTTTAAATCAGCAATTTATCAGTTTATTAGCAGTTAAAAATAAACTGCTACCATCTTAGTACCTCTCACATGATTCAATCCATATCTTGATAAATGATCCACAATACAGAAAACAATGCAGCTAAGTTTATAACAATACAATACAGTGCAATTCAGTTATTTTGATTCAATTCAGCTGAAATTCAGTTTTAATTTTGCTTCTGTTTAACAAACCACACACTGGAGTGTGTGTCTAGGCTAGACAATTAAAAGAGTGTTTCTTCAAAACATCTTTGTATTTCAAGCTGCAAAAACCAAATGCATGTCTACTCTTTTCAACAAGCTAATGGGCAGTAAACCTTTGTACTATGTCCACCTGCTGCTTTACCCTATAAAGACGCATTTTCACTGAAATGCTACAGATGTGATGTTGTGCATCAGTATCTTTTGTCTAAATCCCACATCGCCATACACCATATATCTTTGTAAATAAAAGAGTTTATAGCTTGAGTTATTGACTTGGAGAGGGTGGTGTGATCAGCTAATGTGATAAAGCAGTTGCTAAAACTAGCACCAGTACTTGCCTCATACTTATTGCTTAGAGACTTAACAGATTCTAGTTGGAAACTGTGGTTGTGAACTGATGCAGCTACTGATAATCTCTGGTTAATCTTTAAACCGCTAATTACTCATAGTATAGCAAAGATAAAATAAAATATGAATATTATGCATGAATTAAGAAGTATTAATTGTCAATGCATCAACTATAGTAGCTGCTTTTCTGCCAGGAGCTAATGCAGGTTTTTATACAAAGAATAGGAAAAAAACTGTTGTACAAATGCAGCAGTGGAAAGTAACCAAGTACATTTATTCAAGTACTGTACCTAAGTACAATTTTGAGGTATATGTACTTCACTTCAGTATTTTGATTTTGTGCTACTTCATACTTTAACTTGTCTACATTTAAGAGGCAAATATTGTACTTGTTACTCCACTACATTTATTTTATAACTTTTGCTACTAGTTACTTTTCAGAACTAGGGTTAGCTTAAGCATCAGTGACACAGTTACATGGGCTATGGGTCAAACACAAGCTGCAGGTGAACCAGTAGAGAGAAGCCTACAGAACATCTTGTAGGGTCCCAGAGCTGTGGGAGAACTTTCACACATTATTATCATGGTGACCTTTTTTCAACACCAAGATAAAATAAGTGCAGCAATGTGTCACGTACATGATGAAAAAAAAGACACATGAAAACTGTGTTTCAAATTGCAGTTTGCACCAACTTGAGAGTTTATTATAGTTTTATTATTTGATGTTTCATTATGTGAATTTTATATATTTTTTAAATTTATTTTTCTTAAAGACTGCTCTAACTTCTTCGATTTTGAAGTAACTGGCAACTTTGACTTGTGTGCAATAAATACATGTCATTAATACTCTTTTTTTTATGTGACCTTATCATGGAAATTACCAACCAAAAGTCTTGTGTTGCACAAGAAATAAATAACCAAAAATTTCAGGGTGTGTGTGCAAAACATCTATCATCCTCTTGCCATCATGCCTAAAAAAGGTTTCTAGGGTAAACACAGATTTTATGTGGGGTTTTTTTTTTGAGTACACAGGTTTGAGGGAACAATAGAAGCAAAATACTGAAAATCAGACAGAGCCATATTGCTACACACACCACTACACAAAAATGCACACCTGGTATTCCTGAGGAATGAAGTTGTCTATAATTAGCATCTGGAGCCGGAGTTCTCTGCTCAGCTGGCGGATGTTCTCCAGGAGGCCCTCGATCTCTCTGTGATGCTCTTGCTGTAGATCTGCCATCTAACAGACAACACAAAAACCGCACTGAATCAATTTCCTTTCTTCACCTGATCAATCAAAACTAAATATGAATATGGGTCAAGTTTAGAAAATAATCAAGTGAAGCTTTGAATAAAGAAGGCATTTTTAGAAATTTTGTATAGGAATTCAGTGTCTGGTACCAGTCCTGGTGAAAATGATGCAATGTGCTGTGACTGCACATCACCCTGCTGCCTTAAATGATTACTCTCAGTCTTACTCTTTTATGTTGTTCTTACTTCTGATTTGGCAGCCATCAGCATGGTCCATACTTTCTTCAGCTTCTTAGTCTTTCCTTGGGCCTCCTCCTGCAGGCTCGTGTACTTCTCTTCTATGTCCAGACGTTCTTGCTGTTTTAAGAAGGAGAGGGATCAGTGATTATACTAAAAGAAGATCTTTCTGCAAACAAGTAAGCTTTGATCTGTGGTCACAACTGCAAGGAACAAATGGATAAAAGGCAGAAGATCAAGATGATGTCTGAAAAATGTATTTAATAAAAACAAAAATAGAAATTGAAAGAAAGTGTTTATATATTGACCTTTCTAAGTAATATATAAATAATAACTTAGAGCTTATTTGTATTTCCATCCACAATGATGCAGCCATGTCAGTTTAAATCAAGCTAATGATCAGTGCTTGTAAATTGTGGTTTCTGATATCATGTCCTGTCCTGTCCACTGTGCCACATAGCAGGGCTGCATGACAGCTGATGCTGTATATGTAGCAGGAGATGGTAGTGTTTTAGTTTTGGAAGTGAAATTGTCTATGCCCTTACAAACACATCATCTTATTTATTTTGCTCTAATTGTTAATTTAGTTGTTTATTAGAGACATCTTACAAAAAAATAAAATAATAGCATTAAGCACCAACTCCAGGATGGTCGGTAGACATTATTTTGTAACACTTTTTAATTTGCTACAGTTACAGCATGATAACTTCCACAGCTAACTTCCTGTATACTCACCAGCATACTGCATGAATGGCTAATGTGACACTACTGTAAGATATTAGCTGATCTACTGAGTGAAGTACTATATAGTTGTTTTTTTGTTCCAAACAGTATTGTGCAGAGCTAACTATGCTGTCATCTCTCTCTTCTTACCTCTTTCTCCTCCAGCTCCTTTCGCAGCTGCTCCGCTCTCCTGCGACGTTCTTCTAGCTCATTGTTGGACTCCTGCAGCAGCTTCTCCTGCTCCTCAGCCTTGGCCAAGAGGTCTACCCCACCCACGATCACCTTCTTCTCTAAGGCAGACAATTTCTCCAGCAGAAGATGATGCTCCTGCCTAAGGAGTGACAGGTATGAAATGAGCAATGAGTTTGGTAACTACGGACCACTAGCACTAAATAAAGACAGATTATTTGATTTGTATCACTGTGTATTCCACCTTCAAATCTTTCATTCAAAATACTAAATATGTTTGGACTCCTGGACTCACTGGGCTTTAAGCAGGTCCTTTTCCCTCTTCTCCAGCTCTGCTCTGGCCTTGTTCCGCTCCTCCTCCTCCATGTCCAGCTTGGCCTCCAGAGCCTTTCTTTCCTCCTCAATTTTTGCCTGCATCTCCACCATCTTGTCCGGGGAAACCTTCTTCCTACCTTAAAAGAGACGCACAGGAAAACGATGTCTTTAACTAACAAGCTGCATCTTCTCATATCGGGTACTTGTCCATGTATAGGTTAGAATGATTTAAATGCATATGTATTTATTTTATGATAGCCAGCATTGGTATTACTTAATCTGTGCAGTTTTAGTTAGGAGTGCACCGAAATTTCGGCCACCGAAAATTTTCGGCCGAAAAGGCCATTTTTATTTTGGGCCGGAATAAAAAAAACACGCCGATGCCCCACCCCGCCCCGCCCCGCCCCGCCCATCATATCCTCGCGCAGCACAGGTTAGGTTTCACTTAGCACTGCTAGCTACCTAGGCTATGTTGTTTACAGTTTGTTTGGAAGTTCTATTGCTGTTTTTGCACCGTTTTGCATTGTTTTGCACAGCAATTTAAAATGTTTGAGTGTTACATAAAACTTGAATAATATTATTTGGTATTGTTAAAAATATTTTAGATTTTCATTTCAGATTCATCAAATTCAAGTATATACATATACATATACACACACACACAATTATAGAGTAAGCGTGTTTTAAAAATTTGAAGTTTTTAAAAGAAGCCTTTTTCGGTTTCGTTTCGGTTTTCGGCCAAATGCATCCTAAATTTTCGGTTTCGGTTTCAGCCCAGAATTTTCATTTCGGTGCATCACTAGTTTTAGTCAATAAATTTGCACTGCAGAATTCAAATTATGTGGTTTGCAAAGGAACGTCAGTCTTAACAAGTGTCACTGAGATCCAGATTTGCAGCATTAAATAATTATTGTAAGAAAATTTTGAAAACAACAGAAACTGGATCAAGTGCAAGATTCTCTTAATGGTAGTCATTTATGGACAGACAGAAAAATGTAAACAATTAGGCAATCTGTTACCAAATTAGGAGTAACTGAAATAGCTATTAAATCACACAATGGCCCGTGGGATAGTCTATGAAAGCAGAAGCACCACTGCTGAAATGGCACCACATAGGTTATCACACCAAATTCTTTCTTATTGAGTAAAAAGGAAGAGGAGAGAGATAAAGATCAGCACATTGCAGTCATCTTGGAAATGCTATGACTCTGCAAAGTGGAACACCAGTGGGAGGAGGACAGACCAAGGAAACAAAAGTAGAAAGAGAGTAGTAACAGACATGGGCCAAAGACAAAAAAAGAAATAACTAGCTCATTTTACATAATGAAACATGAGGTACAGTAGGTGGACTGCATCACTGAGACAGAGGAGTTACAGATTACACAAAAACTCTACTAGAGGTATAAAATGAAAACTGAGGATATGAAAAAAAGTTTATGATGCCAAAATTCACAACTGGAAGAAAAAGCATACAACCACCATATATTAAAAAACACTCATGATTCACATGGATCTAATCACTTTTTACCTGGGTAATAGGTCAAATAAAACTTTGACCATATACAACTAAAACTGGGCTTTTTGATAAGAAGCTATACCAAACTTTTAGTAGGGAATTCCACATCCTATCCAATAAGACCAAGCCAAAGAAATTAATAAAGCTGACCATTTCAGAAAGGAAATACTATGAATGACATGTTGCAGACAGACAGACATCAAAGCATCAGGAAATCCCCCTCTGCAAGCCAGAAGGGGATTTACACAGCATAAAAAAACAGTAAAATACTCAAACACATCTGTCAACTTTAAAATCTTTTAAATTTTTTAAACTACATTCGTCCGGCTGCTGATTGACTGTAAAATAGACTATTCTGAAGCCCCCATTATTTTAAATTTATGATCAAATTAATAACAAACATCTCTCTAGGGGGGATAGAGAGATAACTATTACTGAGGATACTAATGTTGGGGAAAGTCTCCCAAAGCACTACGAGCAGTTAGCAAATAAGTCATGAAGATAAACAGGCAATCAGATGGAAAACGTGCTTTCTAATCATTTACACAAACTATACAGCATGAAAACAAATACACCCATCCCTGGTGCCATTTTTTTTTTTTTCAGCTTGCTATCACCACAGTGATTTCACCATGGCAAGATGAAAACTGAAACTGATCACCAGATACCAACTTCACACTGTCTTTTGCTGTGCAGAGGAGCTCAGTGTAAACAGCAAAAGAAATGTTACATTTACAACTGGTGCTTTTCATACATGGGTTCCATCATGTGTGAAAAGGGCTTATGTTTGTAGGCAGCTGGGTTAGTAAAGCAGAGTGCACTAGCTCCAACTCACTATTCTGAGGTTTGTCCTCAGTGGGGAGTGGCACTGAGGAGAATCAGGCAAATTCTAAGCTATTGTTGCTGCTGCTACTATCTGGAAAGGAAGCAGAACAAGCACCATTCACACCAAAGCCTGCTGTTAGAAACAGGCAGAGGTAAGAGATGGAGAACTGTAGGACCCATGGGTTTGCAGAGCTTGTGGAATAAAATGCTATAGTTTTAGGAAGAATAATATTGATAAAAATAAAAAGACACCTTGGAACATGGCCTCACATTATTGTAACATAACGTGATGACTTAATTGTGCTTGCTCATGTGTATTTATCACTTTCCACTTGAAAACAGAGAATAGTAGAAGGTTAAAATACAGGGGAACTCCTAAATGAGAACAGTGCTGTGTATGGAAGCTGATTAACCAACAGTTGAGGTTAGGTAGTGACCTAAAACAACCTCAGCTTGATAATGATCTGGGAAACTAAATGCTGACTCATATTAAAGTTACCATATTGATTACAAATGAAACTACATATGCATTAATTGCTAAAATATATATCCAAATATTTACCAAAAACATGTTAAAGCACTGCCTGAAAGGAACGCTTCTCATAAATTCTTACCTCTTCTTCTCCTGCGCCCCTCTCCTGCCTCCCCTCCTTCATCACCACCTTCATCCAGCTCCTCTGATCCACTGCCCTCTGAGCCAGAGATCTCTTCACCTAGAATCACACAAAAAACATTTTAAACAAAGATGGTGGCAGACTTCAAAGTCCAGCTTAAATCACATTTCTTCATCCCTTTTTGCAGTCTAAAACAATGTCAATGTGTTTTTAAAATGTACTGTTAATAGTTCTGTATTATTTAAAGGAGGACAAAAAGTCTGTGTGTATGTTTGACTGACTGGCCAGAAAAGTGCCACTAGGGAACAAGAGACAAAGTAAACAAACTTGCACTGTAGTTAGATGTCATGGGCAGACAGTGTACTGTTTGTAGAGGAAGAACCACAACAGCAACTAACTGGAGCAAAGTGATATTTTCAGGTACATTTACATTCAGGCTAACGGTAGGTTAGCTAATTAGCTATCTTGTTCATAAACTGATGTGAGCAGTGCAGTACCAGTGAGCACTTGTTTGGACACTCATTCAACAAGCTAAGCTGCAGGACACAACATGTTCTATCTGTTAGATAAGGAGACTTTGGTGTGCTCTGCCTGTGACTGACACTGACATTACTTCTTTCTGCAAGATTTGATTGGCTGTATTGAAATAAGGTCAGATAGTATGTATGCTGTAGCAGACAAAAAAATATATATCTTGCTCATTACCTTCCTCCAGTTTCTTCTTCAACTCCTCAATCTCCTTCTGAAACTGGCGCAGCAGGGCATCCTTAGGATCTTCATTGATCCTGGCTTTGTTCTTGATATTTTTGGCCCTGTTAGCGTAGCGCAGCGTACTGATGGTCTCATCATAGTTATAGTCTGCAGGGCCTATATTTGCACACTGGCAGAGAGAAATATGTAATTTGAAAAATGAGGCAAAAACTATAGTGTCAATGTCATGCACGACAACATGTTTAGAATTTATAAATGACTAGAAAATGTTAATTTGCACATTTATTTGCTGCATATAAGAGCACTTTCATTTAAAAAGAGGGGTTTTTTTTGTGGAGCACATGTTTCAAGTACTGTTTTCAAACTTTGACTGTACCATCATGGTCTTAGAGTTTCCTCCAAGCGAATCCTGCAGCAGACGAGTTAGTTTCGAGTTCCTGTAGGGAACATGTGTGCTCTTGCCATCCACCAGGGCAGAGATGACATTACCCAGTGTGGAGAGAGAGAGATTGATCTTTGTTGCTTCCTTTAAACGCTGCCCTGTGGCTCCAGTCTTGCCCTGTCTTTCTGAACCCTGTTGGGGGAGGGGAGTGAGTAAGGACAGATTCATTGGTGGTGGTTAGATTGTGTGTGATAGTGCAAGTTACAGCAGTATAATCGCAGTTCGTAGGAAGGAGCCCCCCCCCCCGCGGAAACTGATGGCCAGAGATACGTACTGCCAGGTCGACCAAGTGAAGTTTTCCCATGCGCACATGCTGGTTTCCATCCACACCCTTCTCACTGCACTCGATGGTGATGGTGAAGATAGCATGAGAACGGGAGCTGTGCTCATTCATGTTTGTGGCACCAACAGATCCTAAATATAATGAAATAAAATCTGATCAGGTAACTTGGCTCCTGAGTACCTATGAATGTTTGAAATGATT